CCCTGCTACTTGCGCTCCTTGCGGCCCCACCCAATCATGGCCCCAACAAACACACCAGCAGCTCGTGCAACCACGCAACTGCATGCTGGCAGGTGCTGGCCGCCACAAGCCCCCCCCCCCCCTCCCCTGCCCATGCTCTGGCGTATGTGCTCGTCCACCGCATCGGCATCGCCGCCCGTCACACGCATGAGCACGCTGTGCGTCGCGGCCGCCAGGCAGGCCATTTTGAGTTGGCGGCGTGCCTGATTGGACAGCACGCGGCCTGTGGAGTGGCGCGCCATGAGGCTCAGGAACTCCTCCCGCACCTGGGGGTTGAGGGTGTGGGGCCAGGGAGGGGAAGGGGTTGAGGATGCAACTCCAGGGCCGCCTAGTTTGACAAAATGCGCGGCCTGTGCGGTGGTGACCAGCCAGAGTGATGCACTGCTGCGGATGCAGTGGCCAGCAAACACCATTGACTGGGTGCTATGAGGCTGCAATGCGGCGTGCATCAAGGCTGCGCCGGCGAGCACAACGCGAACAAATGTGCCTTGCTGAGGATATCAATCCATGGAGGGGCCTCACCTCGTCCACAACCTCGGACTCCCGACCCTACGGCGTTAGTGTGCATGGTCCCGGGTGGGACAAGGGGGAAAGGGGGGGGGAGGAGTGCACAATCAGGCAGGGGCAAGGAAAGCACTCAATGTCTTTGCGTGTCGTCGCGCCTCAACACGAGAATTGGCACTTGCCGCCTACGCCCAGCAGGCCGTTCACCATAAGTGTCCTACAGCCACAAAGCGCTAAGCTGACGCATCTGGACGTGATTTGGCGCCCTGCCCTGCGGCTGCATCAAGCGCGCCCCCTTCGAACCCCGGTTCCGTCCCTCTCATTGGTCCTCTCTCCAGGACCCCCCTTTCAGCAGACCCAGCGCCCCACCTTGAGCTCGGGCCGCGTGCGCGCCGACCAGATCTTAATCCTCCCCGGCAGCGCCGCCATCCACAGCTCCTCCTGGGACAGCTTGCCCGCCACAAACGCCTTGGACAGCGGCGGCACTTCAGAGGGCTGCCCCTGTCCCTGACCTTGATGCTGTTGCTGCTGCTGCTGCTGCTGCTGCTGCTGCTGCTGCTGCTGCTGCTGCTGCTGCTGCTGCTGCTGCTGTTGAGGGGCACTGCCTGCGCTGAAGGACCTGCTGGGGGCGGTGCCCACAACGCCAGCTGGCAGGCCCAACGCTGCTGCTGCGGCCCCCGAAGCGGGGTTCAGCCAGCGCACAGTGGTGCCAAGCAGCGCAGGCACAACAGCTCCACGAGCTATAAGCGTTGAGAACATCGTGCCTGCTTGCGTTGCGGTTCCGGCTGCGGCTGAAATGTGCCTGCTCTTTAACCCTTCTGCTTCTGGTGCTCCAGCAGCAACACCTGTGCTAGCTGCTGGGTGTCAGCAAGTTCCGGCTCTAGCTATTTACTCTCCTCACTCTCCTGCTGGTGCGGCTGCTGCGCAATCCTCTGCTCGACAGGGAGTTGCGGCAACGTCACTGCCGCTGGTGATGGTGCTGCTGCTCCTGCTGCTGGCTGTGCGCCAGCCACCAGATACGGCGAGGTGAACCGCTTCTTTTTCTTTACAAATCCAGCAACGAATTTATCCAGTTGCTGTGGCGGGAGAGGCAGCCGTAAGCGAGGGTGATGTAGGTGCAGACCTCAAGCCGCAACTAGGCCAACACCACTAATACAAGGCGCATGTGAATCACACAAGTAACAAACCTTTTGCTCCTCTATACACCAGAGTCCGTTAAAACACTTGTTGCACATGATCCAGTGATCTACTGCATGGCGCAACTTTATCAACAAGAAACAGCTTGATAACAAAGAAGACACGAAGTTGAATAGAGGCACAAAGCATGTGCTCAATGTGTACGGCGTAATTGGCCTCAAAAATTCACCAGGGTGGAACAGCGCCGACAGGTCAGGAGGGGTTGACTCGCACACTAACCATGCCGATTTCGTGTCATCTTGCGTGGTGGATCCACCCGTGTGATGGTTTAGTCCAGGTATATGACATGCCACTAAACCGGAACTAATGCTGAAGACAAGGGTAGGCTGCACACAGTAGTTTGCTGCATTTTCCACCCCTGCCCCCTTGTGATATGGGAAGCAGGTGCGTTGTGTGTCTCAAGCCCTCCGGCCCAAGGCTATTTCCACACCTCCACTACTCAGTTGACTTGCCAATCACACGCATTACACATCTTGTGGTCTCGTGTGCACACGCTCGCCCTTCACAGGGCTGACGAGCAGATTGGCCATACCCCAGGACCGCTGCGCTATCCCATGGCCAAGAGACAGAGTCCAAGTGACTGCAGCCAGCAGCATGGTGCCGCCCATAGAGAACCCAAATGTCAGCAATAGGCAGCAGGCGGCCGCGGGCTCCCAGCATAATGCGAACTGCGAGAAGCTGTGTGGTGGCATCACCACCATGCAAATACGCCGGTGGGGATGCGCTCACGGACTTGTCGAGTCGCTGCGCACAGGCGCGAGCGGCTGGGCATGGAAATGAAGCCTCTGGCTGCGACTGCAGCTGGAGAGCAACTGTCCGGGCATGTGGACAGGCCACCTAGTGCGATGCAAGCAGATTCGCCCACAACATCCCCGACACAACGTGGTTCACCAAAACACTCAAAATGCAAAGAGAAAAAGGTCACCGGTGCACCAGAGCATTCTTGACGAGTGTGGGCCGCGTGTGCAGGCAGCCCGTGGCGTTGCGGGGCACTGGCTCGGCTAACGCTGCGCTGCTGCTGCGTCCACAGCAGCTGTACTGTGCCGTGGTGTGCTGCGATGAGATGCAGTGTAACCGTCAAGGTGCAGACCAACCCTCCGACAGCAATAGGACTCAGGGCTGTCTGCAGGGGTGGGCAGGTTGCTGCCGCACGCCTGGGCCCAGACACAGCCGGCAGCAAACCTCGCCGGGCGTGCAAATGTAGGCGGCTCACCGCCTCACCCAAGGTGAGATGTGCAGTTGGGTGGCAAAATTGTGCACAAGTATGCAGGAAGGAATACAGCGGGGTTGGGGATTTTGGGGTGGGAGAGGCGGACACACAAGTTTGACAATGGGCGGAAAGGGGAGGAGGTGAGGCACTCAGACGGCAGCTGCTTGGGGCGCGTGGTTGGCGACCACGCTACTGCATGCCCGCGCTGTGCAGACACTGCATGCTGCCGCTGCTGCGTTTAAGGCAGCCACCCGTCGCAACACCAACTGGGGACCGCGTTGCGGTGCTGGCGCCCGCAGCCGCGGCGGCCCCCAGGGGCAGCGGCGGCGTACTGGGCGACCGCGGTGGGGCCTGGCTCAACGGCACCAGCAGCGACGCTGCGCTGGAGCTGCTGGCTAAGCCACCGGCTCTGCTGGAGCTCGCGAGCCGCGTCGCGCCACCCCAGATGCCAGCCAGTGCACCGCTTGCTGAATGCCGCAGCCCGCCACCCCCGCCCCCGCACGGGCGCCCGCCGCACTTTGTGCTGCTGCGCTGCACTAGCGTGCTGGCAACCAGCACAGCAGCTGCCAGCAGCGACAGCACTGGCAGCAGCCCAACGCCGCGCGAGTGCGCAGTGTGCGGCACGCCAAGCGGCATCTGCGCCTCAAGCGGCTGCAGCCCCACCATCGCTGCACCATCTGTTACCGTCCTGAGCGGCGCCTCCTGCTCGTGCAACCGTCGCTCAACGGCTTGGTCGTTTCCAGCCAGTGGCGCGCTGCCCAGCTGCTGGCGCCGGCGCAGCTTACCATCCCTTTGCTTGGGCAGTTGGTGTTCTTGCTGCGACTGCTGCTGCTGCTGCTGCTGCTGCTGCTGCTGCTGCTGCCGCCGCTGACCACGTTTGCTGGCCTCCCGGCTGCCGACGATGCCAGGTGCCTGCTGCTGCTGCCAGCCACCATTGATGCCAACCTTGGGGTCCTGCACGGCAGGATTCCGCTGCTGCTTGTCGACCGGCCGCTCCAGTGCTTGAGGTGCCCGCTTCCCTGAAGACGGTGCCGCCAGCCAGCCCTCGTCCTCCCGCTTCTCCTTCGCTGCCGCCGCCCCCTCCGCGCCGACCGCTGGCGAGACCTGCACGGCCCCTTTATTGAGCGCTGCCTTGCGGCCAGCCGCGATTGCTGGCGACGTGCCCACTGCCTCCGCTGCTGTGTGCGGTGAGAAGAGGTGCGCGTAGAGGTGCGCCACAAACTGCCAGAGCTTCTCGTGCTCGTTGAGCCGCCAGCTGCCCTTGAACATGTGGTATACGTAGGCCATGGGGTCCGCCAGGTTGACCGTGCTGGACGCGCAGCCAAAGCTGCTCTGGGGCAGCAGCCGCACGTCCCCAACGCGCGCGCCGCCCACCACCGACTCTGGCGCGACGCCCTGCTCGCGCAGGTAGTCGTGCACCGACGACGACCAGATGCCGGGGCCGGTGCGCTCCAGGATGGCGTGGTCGCGGTCCTCCTCGCGCACCGCACCGGACGCCTCCGCGTCCAGGCGCCGCTGGATGTAGTCGCCCATGCGGCAGACGACGGGGTGGCCGGGGCGCGCCGCGATGGTCCACTGCACGACCTGCATGACGCGCGTGTAGTCGCGGCGCCGCGCGGCGTCCATCGTCTCAAACACGTTCTCAACGCCCGTCAGCAGCCCCGCGTCCTGCGCCCAGCCCGACACCGGCCGCCCCGCGACGACGTCGCTGTCCGCGTAGACGCCGCCAAAGGTGCACAGCACGAGGTAGCGCCACAGGTCGGTGCGCTCCACCTGGGAGCCCAGGCGCCGGAACAGCGGCAGCAGGCGGCCGTGGTACAGCGCCATGAAGTCTGCGATGTCGTCGTCGTCATACAGCAGGATGGCGTAGCCGGGGTTGAGCACCGCCCACGTCGCGATGGCCAGCGCCTGGTGCGGCAGCAGCGCGTCCTTGTCGCGCACCGTGAAGTGCACCAGCCGCGGCAGCCGCCCGTCGGGGTGCAGCACCGGCGACAGCTCCGCCTCGCCGGCGAGCAGCGGCGCGATGACGAGGCGGACGCTGGGCGCGGCGTCGGAGATGACGCGCATGAGCGTTGCCACGGGCACGCGGCGGTGGCGCAGCAGGTCGCGCGGCAGGCCGTACAGCGCCGGCAGGTCCTCCAGGGCCATCTCACGCCGCACGCCGCTCTGGTTCTTGCAGATTTCAAAGGTGTCCCGGCTGGCGGCCAGCGAGTAATTGTCGTAATGGGGCGCTGGCCACGCCGACGAGCGCAGCGGCGCCGTGCGCGCCCGCGCGGCGGCGGCGGCCGCCTTGGCTGCCTCCTTGGGCGTCAGGCGCACTGAAGCGATGGGCGGCCGGCGCTCATGAAGCGCGGCCGCCGCGCCAGAGGTGGCGGCGAGGGCTGACAGGTCGGCGGCGCGCGCGCCGCCGCACGCCGCCGCCGCAGCTAGCAGCACCAGCGCGCACACCAGCGCCGGCCGCATGCTGCCCCTCCCTCGAGCTTGATTGACGGCTGGCGTTCCGCTGGTGGTGTACCAGCCCACCAAGGCAGAAGTATGGAACACGAAACTGTGGGGCGGGCCGGTTGGGACATGGCCGTGATGCGCACCAGGGACAGGGGCGAAGGAGTGAGAGAGGGGCCCGGAGGGCGGGCATGAGCGGCGGCAGCGCGTCGATGCGCCAGTCCTGCGCTGCGCCTCGGGCATGCCTGCACTACTCAGGTCTATGTTACAAATCACAAGCGTCAAATTCGTGCAAGCGCAAGGGTACACCGGGCATGTCGCACAGCTGCACTTGACAGCCTGGCTCTCCCGACCTGCATGCTGCAGGGTCCCCGCCCTGCTGGCATGGCAAACTTCCGAATATAACCACTATGAGAGCGTAATAGGTGGATCTCACCTGGTGTTGTAGCCGTCCTCGTCCGTGCAGTGAATGCTGCCGAGCCCCAATGTCAATCAGCGTTTGTGTGTTGGTGCGACTGTGCAAATATTAATTTCACGCTGCAAGGATACAACTGGTGTGATAGCGGGTCTTCCCGGCATGATTTGCAGGGCTGGACTAGTGAAGACCGAATCGCCCTCGGGCACACAGAAGCTGCCGCCCACGACTGCATAAGCATCCAAAACATTTTCATGCTACAATTTGTAAGAAGGCTGACAGGTTGCTTCCCTGCTGCAAGGCAAGTGACGCTCAAGTGCCGGCCTGGATGGACCCTTGCCAGCCGCTCAAGCAGCACACGTGCACAGAGGCAGCGTTCTGCGCTTCCCGACATTGCCCGTCACACTTTCATACTTCAACAGGTAGGGTTGCCCGCACTGCAACTAGCCAGCATATGCCACAGGCCCCAGCCTGATACGTAGAGAGCAACTGCAGCGTGTGGGACGAGTCCGTCTCAGTTTGCCCTGATAGGGCTTTGACGTATGAACATGGGATTTGGCTTGGACAAATAAGGAGGGATCTTTGCGAGATGCAGCGGTATGCAAGCAGTGAAGCGCCTCTGACCCACCCCCAGGTCGTGTCTCCGGAAAGGATGATAAAACCCATCAACCGTGGTTTACAATGCGCGTTGTGCAGCAACAAAGACCACACGCTCCCGCTGCAGTACAGCAAATATCAGGCGAAATGAAGTGCGTGACGGCCAAGAGTATATCTGAATGCATCAGCGGCCTTAGACAACACCTCGGCACATCCCGCTGATAGTCATGGAGGGCGCGAGGGAAAAAGGGAGATGAGAGAGCATGTGTTTGAGTTGATGTGTGTGGATGTGGGAATGTTGTGTGTGGAGTCTGCTGAAGGGCTGGCGTCTCAGACGGCCTCTCTCTCGTGCGCATCCAAGGCGCATGGCCATCGAAATCGTTATCGTTGTTCCCTTGGGAAAATTTGAGCAGCAAGGCCAGTGGTAGGTCACCGCCATGGCTGCAGCAAGAATCCTTCCATGTGTGCACGCAACGGCTCTGCTGTCGATAACAGACCAGAGGCCGGCAGGGCCGAGCTGCAACAGCAAAAAGGGAGCCGAGCCGGGGGGTCGACTGAGTCGAGCCGGGTGCTCGACTGAATCGCAAGTGGCCAGCCTTCGGTGTCCTCTCAACCCTCGCCCACCTCCAAATTGAGACCCTCTCGCGATCCACGCTCTCAACGCTCTCCTCTCCTCACTCGCCCCTCTCTACAGAAAGGCCGTAGTACTTGACCAAAAACCCCAGTCTCTGCTTGCTGCAGGCAAGATGATGAGGCAATGGAAGCCACCCCGCTCAAGCTCAAAAACCACCAGGCGCCAGGCAAAGTGGATGCGGCAGCCCGGGTGGGGCCACGGGCAGGCTCGTAGGATGGGGGAAAAACGCCCTTGCAGCGCCTGCACTCACGCTCGTGTACGCAACGATGTGTGCCTGTGGCACCACAGCAGTGGTTTATAGCACACATGACAGCACCGGTGTGACCGCGCGAGCGCCCCACAAGTGGTTGGTGGTGCGTGTTCACGTGCACCCCAAAAACTGTGCTCTCCAAAGCAACTGTGCTCGCAAGAGCAACCGCTTCAAAGGGAGCGTGGGGTACGCGCCTGTAATTTGCGAAAACTGTCCTCCTGTCCTCCCAAAAAAACTGCGGTGCTTCACGCCGGCAAGCACGGGAATGACTGGGGCCGCAAAGCCGCAGCACAGCAGCTGGGCACGAGGCAGCTCGCAGTCGTGCTGCGTGTGCTGCCCCGCCCCGGCACGTGCTCCGCAAAAAATAATCTGCAGCAGCCAAAAGGGGTACAGCTCGGTCCCCGGAGGCTGCCAGATGAAGTGCATGGGGTGTGCAATGGGGGCTTTGCTGGCGTCCTGCAGCAAGGGGTCCGTGTGGGTGCCCCTGTAATGACAAAATTGGCGGCAGCAGGGGTGCCTGCGCGCACCACCGGGGTTCAGGGCACATCAACACCACGCCCAAACGAGCTCAGGAGTGTGTGGCGTCAAGCCAGGATGAAGATGGGGTCAGCAGGGAACCGTCAAAAAGGGACTACATGGCAACTGCCTGAGGCCTGCCTGGTTTATCGCTGGCCACGCAGGCAGGAGGAGTCTAGGTAAAGCGCCGCCTGCGGCGCCAGTTGCGTGTTGCGCGCCAGCTGAGACGAGGAGCGCAGGCCAGTGCAGCAGAGCAGGGGCAGCTTAGCGGGCCCGCGCGTGCTGGGTCACCCCAACACTGTGGCAGGCCGATGAGGCTGCGGCACCGTGCGAGGCCCTGGTGGCGGCCGCAAGCTCGCGGTCCAAGCGCAGCAGCTCGGGGTGCGCCGGGTCAGGGTGCTGCGCCCCCAGAACATCAGACCGCGTGAGGGCGTCGCTCACAGCACCCAGGGCACGCTCGCGCAGCGCGTCCAGCGCATCCGCGCCCTGCGCGGCCGCAAGGCCGGCCGCGCAGGCTGCTGCGGCGGCGTCTGCAAACACCGTGTCCTCATCCTCCCACCAGTCCCCACTGCCGCTGGAGCTGCATATGGCGTCGTGCACGTATGCGCAGCACAGCTCCGGGTCGTCGCCCAGCAGCGCGGCCACCAGGGGGTCGCCCAGTGCCGCCGATGTCGCGTCGCAGCCCGGCTCAACGATGGTCCCGAGCTGCCCGTCAAACATGTCCCCACCATAGCAGCTTGCCTCAGGGAACGATGGAGACGCAGCTGCAGATGACGCACGCGGCACGTTGGCAGCCGCCAGAGCCGCCGCGAAGCAGCACTCGTCCGCGTCAGACTCGTCCTCCTCCTGGGACGCCGTTGCCGGCGAAAACGCGCCGCGCAGCAGCTCCATGTCGCGTGCCGGGGGGGGCCCGCCGCCGGCCCCGCCGGCCCCGCCGCCAGCCCCCGCGGCCCCGCCGCACCGCGCACCATCCATGAGCACAATCGACTGCATCTCCCGCAGCTCAGCCACTGCCACCCCCAGCGCGTCAGCGGCGTCGGGCGCAGGGGCTGCCTGCAGTGCGCGCAGAGCCGCCTCGAGCTCCTGCTGCAGGCAGGGCAGCGCAGCCTGGGCTTCATCAACCGACGCCGTGGCGCTGCCTGGGCCGCCGGGGCTACCAGAGGGCGAGCTGCACCGAGGCAACCGCTGCTGGTGGTGTTGAAGCTGCTGCTGCTGCTGCTGCCGTTGATCTGCCGCTTCGTACGAGCGCCGAGCAAGAGCCGCTGGAACGCTGGGTGCCGTTGCCAAGCCAGCAGCTGCTTGCGATGTGCTGCCGCTGCTGCTGCCGCCGCCGCCGCCGCCGCCACCGCTGCTGCGGCTGCGGCTGCTGCTGCTGCTGCTGCTGCTGCTGCTGTCAGGAGTGCGGCGCGGTGGGGCAGGGCTGGGGGCAGGGCTGGACGCCCGCTTGAAAGAGACGACGTTGCTGCTGGCGCCACGGGGCACAGGGTAGGGGTCGTCGTCGCCTCCACACACCCTGAAAACTGGCCGCAGTTGCTCACGCCCTTGCAGCGGCTGCTCTTGCTGCGACGGCAGCGGAGGCAGCAGTGGTTCCACAGGTGCGTGCCACCGCCGCAGCTGGGTGCTTTGACACCACGAATCAACCGCGTCCAGGCGACTGGGGCCCAGTGAGCACTCTAGCGAAAGTGCCATGTTGGGGCCCTCTTGCCAGCGCGTTGGCAGGCCTGATGCGTCCACCACGACATACTTGTACTCAAAACTGGCCCTGGAGTTGAGAGGGCAACAGGAATCAGTTGGCATAACAATTGTCACAGGGTGCGGAGTGGGCATGCTTGCAGTAGCAGGTAGGTTGAGCGACAGGGGTGGGCAAGCAGGCGGGGCACTGCAGGGGCGAAGCGCGCATGAGCAGGAAGGGGGTGATTGTTTACAGCGTGGCGGCCGCTGTGCCCATGCTGAGACGAACGTATAAAACGCCCTGACTTGCTGGTGGACACCCGGCCCAAACGTGAGCGATTTATGCGAGTGCACCTCGGCAGCAACGCTCACCCGGCGGGCAGCTGCACTGCCGCGACCCAGGTGTCCCCCTCCTGCCACTCCATCTCCACGGCGCCACTAGGCTGCCAGCCGCCAAGTTGCGCCACGTCACCGCACACGCGCACAGCAGCACCGAACGTGCAGCGGTAGTGGATGCTGAACACCACCTGCACCACCAGCTGCTGCACCAATGAGCCGCCTGGTATCATGAGGCGAGATTGAAGCTCATGCTGCTGCTCCTGCTGCTCCTGCTGCTCCTGCAGCTGCTGTTGCTGCTGCTGCTGCTGCGGCTGCTGCTGCTGCGGCTGCTGCTGCTGCGGCTGCTGCTGCTGCGGCTGCTGCTGCTGCGGCTGCTGCTGCTGCTGCGGCGGCTGCTGTTGCTGCTGCCGCCGCGCGGGGAGGTCTGCAGTGATTGCATTGCAAGAAGACGATCAGGAGATCAACCACAGCAATGCGTGCGAGGCAAAGGACGCCGCACTGGGCCCCACAAACAAAATTCGAATATGCCTCCGCATAAGTAGCAGGCTCTTGACAGCTGCATGCACTCAGGATCACAATAAGCAGGGGCTCATCAGGTATGTGGCAGTGCTGCAGTGCCAGCGGGGCGGGGGGCGCCTCCAAACGAGGCCACGCACTTAAGCTGCTGGACGTCGGTCGCGTCAATTGAAGCACTGCTGTTGTGCAGACGCGCATGCAACGCGACCCATAGCCGGGCCTGCACCAGCGAATGGCCTGGTCGGGCAGCGCCCCTGCCAGGCTACGCTTCATGCGTGGCTCTGATGGCACACCCTATTTTATGCCTCGTCTAGCTGAACTTTTGGCGGCTGATGGGTCGCGGCAGACCTGCGCAGGCCACCATCGGCTTGCAACACATCAACAAGGATCTTGCTGAGCGGGGGCTATCCCTAGACGGCTAAGAATTGTGCGTTGAGACACACAGCAATTGAACGCACATATTTGATTGGCCAGCGCGTCGACATACATTCAGCGCTGCATGTGGCGAACCCTGTGCAGGAAGAAGAATTCTCCCGATCGCTCGGTGTTTTCTGGGCCTGCAACAGAGACTTAGTCAAATCCAATTTATTCTTCCGGGTGCTTTGGCTGCTGTGGACAGGGGGGCTCGGCAGTGCCGTCACTGCAGCACAACCGCTATGCAAACAACACCACAGGGCGCGCCGCTTCGGGGAGCGTTGCCCAGGCACAAGCACCCCCCGTTCATTGACGTGAGAGTTTATGGCATTGATGAAGGGTGGAGCCTCCCCTACACCCCCTCTTCGAATCCAAATTACCCACCGTCGTCTCATCATCAGCCACATTTCAGTACGCCACTCGTTATTCCAGTAGCCTATGTTGAATTTGTGGCGAGCCGCCATACAACCAGCCAAGGACACACCTAGCAGCTGAAACCTATCAAGCAGCCGGGGTGGGCGAGTAAGTGTCGACCATATCAAGGTGTGTGAGGGGGAGGGGCCCCCGCACTAGGCCATTCAACGCTGCCTCGTCGCGTCGCCAGGGGTCTGCACCCTGCCCTGCCTTCACCAACCTCCTTCCTGCCACAGCTGCCGGCATGCGCCCCAAAGCAACACGGCATGCGCCCCAGGTTCAGATGACTGAGCAAGCATCGTTGTTACAAACGCAGGCACACACAACAGGCGACGAGCTGCTGGCTGTCGCGGGAGAAGCAGGCGCCACGCAGCCCCCCCCCCCCCC